GGTCGGCGGCCCCCGGCGCGCGCGCGCGCTTCAGCTTGTAGCGGTGGTTCTGGAACCAGATTTTGACCTGCGTGGGCGTGAGGCGCAGCAGGCGCGCCAGCTGCTCGCGCTCTGGCGCCGACAGGTAGCGCTGCTGCCGGAAGCGCCGCTCCAACTCCAGCGTCTGCGCCTTGGAGAACAGCACCCGCCGCTTCTTCCTCTTCTCAGCTGCGGAGCCCGGAGACTGCCGCGGCGCCGCGTCGGGCGGGCTGGTCTCGGGGCTGCTCTCGTCCGAGGCTGGAGACAGCAAAAGCCACGCGACCTGGTGAGACGCCAGCCCCGCCGCGCGGCTGCCACTTGCGCGCGGGCGTCGCGCCACCCCCCCGAGGGCGCCTCGCTCGCCGGCGCGCAGGGGGCGAGGCCGCGGCCTCCCCTGGGCCACACCTGGACACCCCTCCCCTCCTTATTCTGCTCAGCCACGACTGGGGGCCGCGCCCTCCGCATCCCAGCCCACCCGCAGGCCCTCGGCACCAGCCGCCGCGCTGGCAGAGCGCTGACGCCAGCTGGGCCACCAGCCCGCCGCCTCCAGTCCACAGCGCTACCGTTTGCAGAGGTTTGGAAAAAAAAAAAAAAATCCAGAGGAGCTAGGCTCGCCCTTGCTGCCCAGCCCAGACCGAGGCCTGGGGAACGCGACGTTGTGAGCGACGCCTGCAGTCCCCAACTCTTCGGACCCCTGGAAACTTTCACCCAAACCCCGGGCGGTGGTGGCCCGCACGCACAGGGATCCGCTCCCCAAGGGTGCCGAGGGGGACGCCCGACCAGGGGCCTGGGGAGGACGGAGCCTCGGCCGAGGACGGGCGGATCCGGAGCTGGAGTTGGTGCTTCCCTGTCGCGCAGGGGTCGGGCTCGGTGCTCCCCGCCCCGCACCCCCGGCGCCCTTACTCACAGGGGTAGTGGCCCCGCTCGGATTCCAGCCAGGTGGCGCAGGTCCTGGGGGCGCGAAGCTCCTGCTCCGGCCTCCGCAGGTGCTGCGCATCCTGCTCGGGCAAATCCAGGAGGCTGCGCACCGTGAAACTGAGGCGTCCGGAGGTGGCCATGGCCGAGCAGGGGAAGGAGGCGGGGGCCAGGGACGCGGGGAGCCCGGGGCGGACGGGGACGCCGCGCCTACGGTTGGGCGTGAGGGGCGCACGCCATGCGCGGGCTGCCGGGATATTAGCGCGTTTACAGCCCAATCCCTGTTTATATAAACAGCTCTTCCCGCCTGGGAGGCTTTGAAAGCCGAGGTCTGGGTCTCCCGGGTGTTAAGTACCTGAATGAGTGCTGGACCAAAGCCCCAACGCGCCCGG